ACCTCCATCAATGGAAGGTGGAAGACTTATTTATTTTTTTAGGTATTTTTCAAACATTACTAACTCTGTCATATCTGGTTAATTGAAAATATTAAGAGTGCTGAAGCCCCTAGTAAGAAGAAACAGAACTACTATGGAAACAAAAAATAATAAATAAAAAGAAAACTAATAGTGGTAAGGAAATGCCAAATTGTGCTTGTTTGGCAATACTTTGAACTTGCAAACAACTAGATTTAAGAACACCCTTAAAAACCTAACCTGTCTGCAAGTAAAGGAGCTTCATATACTCCATAAATTCACTAGTCAATATTTTCAACATAATGCGTACTGCATATAAGATGTAGGTAATAAAACATAGCTACTATTGCAAATAACTGATCTTTAACTACACATAAGTGCTGCTGTTCTGAATGATTTTCTGATGTTAATGCAATCAGAAGAAGAGAAGAACCCCTGTTTTGATGATAAAACTCTAACCTCAAAGCACTTATTGTCAGATTCATAGAATAATGAATCTAAAAACAAAGCTTTGGGAAAGCATCTAATCCAAACTACCCCTTACTGCATTTAAGAGGAGACTCTATCACTCACTTGATACTTAATCATATTATATGATTCATATACCATCTTGTGATGTTTCATTTTATATCTTGTATTGATATCTACTTTTCCATATAGTCATATCTACTCATAAGCTCCCGGAGAGAAGAAATTTATAATCCTTTGTACAAACCATGATATACAATAAACGTTTAATCATTGATAATACTGGTCTGATCCCATTCTGCAAAGTCCAAGAGATGGTCTGGGTTTTCTTATGCTATAATTTTGTGTTTCCAATAAAGAGTTCTTCTTGGAAGCAGAAACTGCCACAGCTAGACTCAGCACAGTTTAGGAATACTTTAAAGGGTAATTGACTAATTGCTAAAGACTGAGTGTGGACTAGCTCAAGAGATAAAAACTCCTGGAGGCTCAGCCTTAGGAGGCCACCACACTTTCATGAGTTTTACCTCCAGGAGCCCCACTAGGCTTTCACTGTGAAGCTCAGAGAAAATTTCTCTTGTGCTTTCAGCAGGGGGAGGAAAAAAATAACCATTCTGAAAATGTCCAGAGTGTTCTGTTCTCCTCAACAATGGCCTGTGGTCAAGGAAAACTATTTTACCAGAGTCTAACTGATATGGATTTTATCAGAACCCAACTGACATGGAGAAAGGGAAATACTCAACTCCAGCTCCCTCCAGCCTTCCTGTTTCACGTGAGGGGTAGAAGAAAAAGAAAAAGGTGAGAAGCTCTTGTGAAGGTCAAAACCCAGAGATACAAACTCATTAAAGACTGAGACTTAATCATAGGATTATAAAACACTCCGCTCCCCTCACGTCAACATTGACAGAGCTTTATGGGACATTACAATTGAAAAAAAAATCAGAGTTCATCTTATTCACTATGTCATGTTCAGCTTTCAAGAGAAAATTATAAGGCACGCAAAAAGTTAAAATTAAAAAAAAAAAAAGCCTGAAGAGACAGAGAAAGCAGCAGAATCGGACTCTGATATGGTACAGATTTTGGAATTATCAGACTGGAAATTTAAAATAATTATGATCAATATGCTAATTGCTTTAATGGAAAAAGTGGACAATATGCAAGAACAAATAGGTAATGCAAGTTAGAGATGGAAACTAAGAAAGAATCAAGAGGAAATTAATAGAAATCAAAAACACTATAACAGAAATGAAAAATGTCTTTGATGTGCACCTGAGTAGAATGGACATGGTTGAGAAAATAACCAGTGAGCTTGAAGATGGAAACTTCCCAAACTGAAAAGCAAAGATAAAGAAGATTGAACAACAACAACAAAAATGAAACAGAATATCCAAAAACTGTGGGACAATTACAAAACATGTAACATGTGCATAATGGGACTACTAGGTGAAGAAAAAGAAAAAATATTTAAAGTAGTAGTGGCTGAGAATTTTCCAAAATTGTTGACAGACGCCAAACCACATGTCCAGCCAGGAAGCTCAAAGAACATCAAGCAAGAAAAATACAAAAAAATTCCAACTGTTGTTTGTGCTGTTAAGTTGTTTCCAACTCATAGCAACCCTATAGGACAGAGTAGAACTGCCTCACATGATTCAAACCCCTGACCTTTCAATTAGCAGCCAAGTGCTTAACTATTGCACCACCATGGTTCCTTAAATCTATACCTAGACATATCACATTCAAACTGCAGAAAATCAAAGACAAAGGGAAAATCTTGAAGGAAGCCAGAGGAAAAAAACATGTTACCTATAAACGAACAAGGATAAGGATTACCACTTTTACACAAAGAACGTGCACCTTCTATGTTTGTTGCCAACTGCACCCTCCCTCCAAGCTATGCTAATTTTTTGACAGCAACATGTAAAAAAAAAATTGGCATAGTGGTGCTTATGAAAATACTTCTCAGGGGGAGAGTGCAGTAGGCAAACAAATGTAGAAGGCGCGTGTTATTTGCGTAAAGATATGGTACATTGGACTTCTCTTCAGAAACCATGCAAGCAAGAAGAGAGTGGAGTGAAATGTTTAAAGTGTTGAAATAAAAAACTCACCAGCCTAGAATTCTGTACCCAGTGAAACTATCCTTCAAAAGGGAAGGAGAAATAAAAATACTTTCAGACAAAAAAAAGAGGGAATTTTTTGCCACCAGATCTGTCTCATAAGATTTGTTAAGGAAAATTCTTCAGTGAGAAGGAAAACTGTAGAGATCAGAAACTCGAACCTATATAAAGAAAGGAAGAGCATTCAAGAAGGAATAAATTAAAGGTAAAATAAAACCTCTTATTTTTCTTATTCTTAAGTGACCTAACAGATAACAGTTTTACAAAACAGTAATAGCAACCATACTGTGGATGACTGTAGCTTATGGGTAAGTGAAATGTATGACACAATGTTATACAGCACAGGAGGGAGGCATAAGGGATATCTCTACTACCCATTACAAGGTACCTGTGCTACCTTGAAGTGGTTTAGTATTATTTGAAAGTAGACTTAGATTAGTTGTAAGTGTATATTGCGAACTCTAGGGAAACCACTAAAAAAATTAAAAAAAAAAAAAGTCCTGTAGGGGCTCTGCATGGACATCTATATAGACAGCATTTTGGAGTTCCTAGGTGACGCAAGTGGTTAAGTGCTCGATTACCAGCTGAAAGGCTGGTGTTTCAAATCCACCCAGAGCTTCCTTGGAAGACAGCCCTAGTGATCTGCTTCCAAAAGGTCACAGCCTTTAAAACCCTATGGAACAGTTCTACTCTGTACACACGGGGTTGCCATGAGTCAGAATCGACTCGACAAACAATTCATCAGTTTTACTCCAGAGGTCCTGTTTAGAGCGTGGAGCTTTGTGTCCTCTGGACATTTCAAAGGAGATTCGTAATAAACCTGAACAACAACAACAAAACCAGCAGGAGCCGCTGCAGGTAAGAGACCTGGGCAGATTGTTGAAGGTTTGGAGGGGGAGCTCGGAAGGCATATGCCTGATATGACTCTCCTTTGCCCTCCACCCCACTAATGGGCATATTCTTTTCTATTTATGATAAGGACGTGTTCACATCTCCAACTTCTTGAGTACAAGGGACAAGTACACAGGGCAGAGAATGTCTCCAAGGGGAAGAAATGCCCCTAGCAAGTATGGAAGGAAGGATGGGTGTCATTCTCCCTTCTTAGACTTTAAAGTCTCACTTATCCTTTAACGCCCTGCCCAAAGAGAGCTTCTTCCCAGGTTAAAATATATCCCCCTCCTTCTGTATGTTCCCACAATCTTCTGCACTTCTCTTGGTGGATGGATCATATCTGCTTCCACTGCACCAATGCATTACTTGAAATTGTCGTCCTTCCCTTTCCAATGATGGGTGTTAGCTCCTTGGGTTCAGTGTGCAGCCTTCTGTTCAGTTCTACCCCTGGCTGAAGGCCATTTTCTGCTTTTTAGAATGATAAACTTATGTGTATGCATGTATGTGTGTATGTGACTATAGACTGTAACTCCTTGGAAGCAGATACGCAGATACTGTAACACAGATGTTTGTTATTCCTCTTATTTAAATGACAGGCCCCACCCCATTGTTTGCTTAAGAAATTTCTATTCATCTCTTAAATGTCACTGCTTCTGTGGTGCCTGAACAGACACCCCAAGCAAAACTAGCCACCATTCCTCTGTGTCCACATAGCCCTCTGGTTTGTACATTACGTCATGACACTGATAATGCATGAACAGTATCATAATTTGTTTAGTTACAAATCCATTGTCACCGAAAGTCTGAGGCTTTTTTATTTCTCATCTTTGTGGCCCTAGCTCATTGCACAGTGTGTGACACATATTAGCACTAAAAAAACTTTGTTGACCTGAACTGCAGAGATTTCACAGATAGACTGTTTGCAGCCCAAGAAAATAAAGTCAGAATTACACAGTGTGACTTCAGGATGCTAAAAGATGCTCCCTTCCCCCATCAAAAATTTCCTTAACCTCTGACCAGGGCTGGAAATCATACCAGAAGGGCTTCCTCTCTTTAGGCTGAAGGCTTTGATCCTGTCACAGCGTGGCTCTCCCGGGACGGGACGAGGTTCTCTTTCAAGTTTCCCATCAGGACTTGTGGGAAGACTCATGAGGGCGCTGAGCATCCAAGCGTTTTGGGACACGACACGCTGTGCCCACTTCACAATTTATTCAGGGCATCAGGGCCACGTTTCTCCTGAAGCAGCCCAGAGCACGGTCAGGAAGGGGCACAGGAGTGTAGACGGCTCAGTCAGGGAAATCCTTGGAGGAACAAGCTAGGCTCCAGGGAAAGTGAGGGAGAAGTTAACTCCTGACTCTACAATCCATTTCCAAGTCATCTTATGCCATCGCCACATCCTATAATTTATCAAATTAAAGCACTTCTCTCGGTCCTGGGCATTTAACACATCTAGGAGGGACTGAAAGATCTAGAATGCCTTACACAGAGATAAAAATCAGAAACCAATCTCACCTTTGACAGAGTTATGCCGATTGCTTTGGGCAGGACGATAGTGGGCAGACATGCTGACAATAAAGTGAAGCCAGCCTAGAATATGGACGGGGCACAATGAAATTCCATGCTGTTCATGTAGAGGCAAGTGCCATCTGTGCTCCGTGGAGGCTGATGCACCACCATGCAAATGGTGAAAAGGAAGGCGGTTCAAATGCAATAAGGTTTCCTTCGGGTCGGGTGGACTCCACTCATGGGTCTCAGCAGCTGGTAACCTGAGACTAGGTGAAGGTGCTGAGATTGTCCGTGACAGCATTGTCTTCAGTGAGAATCCAGCACTGCCAATCAAACACCGGAATACTTAATATGCACTTTGCCATTTTGTTACGTTTTCTGCTAAAATCCATTTTAAATGAGTATCTTTAAATTAGTTTTATTAAAAAAAAAATTCCAAGTTAAGAGGATACTTTCCTTCCTCTTTTCCTCCTCCTTACCAAGTTCCCACCTCCACCCACTACTGATCCTGAGAGCGAATTTAACTCTCTCAGTGGAAAGAACCAAAGGATGAGTTAGCAGGTGCTAGGGACACAAGGAGCAGAAGTATTCGGTCATCTCTTTTCAAATCGTATTTATCGAGGACCCTCAATCTACCTGTCCGATTACTAAGTGCTAACGGAGTTAGAAAAAATGCAAGTGCTAGGTGTCGGCCCTCAGAGAGTCACATGCTCCCTGGAGATTCCAGGCTCCCACACAGGAAAGAGTTGCAGCACCTGATGAGTTTCCAACAGTCCTTTCCACCGGCCTAGCCCATCTCAGAAGGTTCTAGAAAGGCCCAGCATCGGAGCCTTTGGTGTTTCCATCATCAAACTTGATTAGAAGCTTGGAGCTGTTAGTTTTGTATACTGATGTAATCACCAAGCTTCAGCCTCTCAGCACCCCACAGCTCCAATGCCTTCCTAAACGTCCCATGCTGCATTCTGCCAGATGAGCTCCTGGGCACCACCCCTTCAATCTATTAAAGCAGTGAGAAGTCTCTACTCTGCTCTTTTCCCCACGTTCTCACGTTCAGCTGCAGCCTAAGCCTCTTTCTCCTCTAGAAGTTCTCCTTGCCCTACAGCTCTTCTAGCCGCTGTCTCCTGGGCTGTGTTCTCGAGACTGCACCCTTGAGGCTGTGTCCTTCAGCCCACGTACTCCAGACTGCTGTTTCTCTACAAGCCAAACCTGCCTCCTCTTGTTTTCTGCTTGAATACTTTCTACCACCTCACTGTAGACTAAACCTGGCTTTCCCTGACAACATCACTAGTCGTTAATGGCACTGAGAGCAGATTTAAGGGAGATGATTTTTACTTGAGACTTGAGTTTGAGGTGCCTGTGAGGTATTTAGTTTCGAGACAGGCCATTGGATATGTGGGGCTGAAATTCATTAATGAAGCCAGTGCTAAAGGCACAAATTTGGGAGTCATCAACATGTTGTTGTTGTCAGCTGCCATCAAGTTGGCTCCTGACTCCTGGCGACCCAATTCACAATGAAACAAAACGCTGCCCAATCCTGCACCATCCCCATGATCAGTGTGAACTGGACCATTCTGATCATTGTCTGATTTTCAGAAGTAGATCTTCAGGCCTTTCTTTTTAGTCCATCTTAGTCTGAAGCTCCACTGAAACCTGTTCATCATCATAGTGACACACAGGTCTACCACTGACAGATGGGTGGTAGCTGCACATGACGTGCATTGGCCAGGAATCGAACCCATGTCTGCTGTGTGGAAGGCAAGAATTCTACCACTGAATCACCAATGCCTCCGTCAAGTAGATTCTAATGCTTGGTGACCCCACGTGTTTCAGAGTAACTTGTGCTCCATAGGGTTTTCAATGGCTGTGACATTTCAGAAGCAGGTCACTAGGCTGTTTTTGAGGAGCCACTGGGTAAATTTCAACCACTAACTTTCTGGTTAGTAGCTGAATGCTTAACCATTTGCAACACCCAGGGACTCAACATGTAGGGAGAGTTAACACACACACACACACACACACACACACACACACACGCACACAAATAAACTCTGGAATAAAAGAAGATTGCTCAAGGAGTGTAAGAGGAAGAAGAGAAAGAATTAATGCTATAGCACTTGAAGAATACAACATTTAAGTCAGAAGAGAACTCAGAAGGTCAAGAGAAATAGGAGAAAAACCAGATGGATATGGTGGCCTGGAAGTAATGGGAGGAGAGAGAAGGGAGTTGCCAACACTGTCAGCAAACACAAAGGTAGTGAACAAGATAAGGATGAAAATGTCCATTGAATTTGATGGGCCTCACAGAATGCGGACGTGATCTAGTAAGCCCAGTCACAGCACTATCTGGGAGACAGCACGGTGCGAGGTTGTGGGATGTGGTGTTTATTCCTAACCAGCAACAACTAATTACATGATGCTTCTCCCATAGCCAGAAAGCATGGCTACACAAACTAAGCAATAAGATACCTCTCACTCTTACATCTGATGACTCATTTGCAAAACGTTTGTTTCCTGCTCCGGAGACTTTGAGCTCTGCAGGCTTAGTCCTAATTCACCAGAAGGCAAAATAATGGTCCCATTGAACTAAAAGTTGAAACCGCTATCTAGCTGCTCAGTGTTCTTTAAGCTACTGGAACAACAGGCAAAAATAGGAATTACTGTGAGGCTGGGGGGATTGGTCTCGGTGATCCAGGTGGAAAAGCTTGTTGCTACACAGTGGCTGCAGGTAGGACTGTGTCTGGAATGCAGGGGATCCTCTGGGACATGTCTAGGGTAACAATAAGTCCATAGAAACCCCATACAGGCAAGACCATCAAGGACTAGGCTCCTCAGGAATAACTGTTTGGGGTACCTCCTAAGTAAACAACCCTGACAAACTGGAGTTCATGCCACCCGAGAACTAAAGGTTACAGGAACTTGGTAGTAGAGACAGGAAATTATAAACACCAACTATAACCTTTGTTGACCATGAGGACTGTAATGAGGACTGTAACACTGTAATAGCTACCCATATTTTCTTCCATGCTCTCTCTTTCCTTTCTTTTCCCTTATCTATATATCTATATCGATCACCTATCTGTCAGTGGATTGGGTGTTGCTATGATGCTGGAAGCTATGTTGCCAGTATTTCACATACCGGCAGGATCACCCATGACGGACAGGTTTCAGCAGGGCTTCCAGATTAAGACAGACTAGAAAGAAAGGCCTGGCAATCTAAGTCTGAAAATTAGTCAATTAAAACCTTATGGATCACACCAGAATATTGTCTGATATAGTGCTAAAAGATGAGCACCCTAGATTGGAAGACACTCAAAATACATAGTGGCTGCAATAATGGACTCGAGCATCGCAATGATTGTGAAGATGGTCCAGGACCAGACTATGTTTCATTCTGCTGTGCATGGGGTTGCCATGAATCAGAGCCTACCCAACAGCAACTAATAACAACATAGCTATCTATCTATCTGTCTGTCTGTCTATCTTTCTATCAGCCTGTCTATCAGCCTATCTATCTATCTGTCTATCTGACCGCCTACCTACCTATCAGTCTATCTAGCTATCTATGCATACATTTTTTTTATCCCCCTTTATCTTTCCTCTACTTTTGTGATTGTAATGGTTATCTTTCTAATTTAATCCATAGGTTACGGAACAATAAAGTTGGATTGTTAATGAGCTAGAAGAGGAATAATTATTACCCAGAAACAGATACCCTAACAAATATGACTTTTGGGAGTAAGTATGTGTATGTGTTCGATTGTACATGAACCACTTATTAGGTTGAGCCAGAGGAATTTGTCATTTTTAGGTAAAAAAAATAGCCAAATATTATCAATTTCATAAGATTCAACCTAATACATTAGGTTAGGCAGGAGCATTTGTTGTTGTTATTGCTGTTTAAGTATAGGAAAAAACGTGCATGAATGTTGAGCACCAAGGTGGTGGACTGCAGCATTACTGGAGATTAGCTTGCTCAACACCCATTCCGACTCTCTTTTGGTCCATGGATGCTAGATTTCTCCGACCCCATAGTAGTTAAGATTCTGGGTGCAATTTAGGCTCTACTGTTAAATTACACCTGCCTTAGTCTTCACTTGTGAACTGAGTTATATGGAAAGAAAGGCAGAGTGCAAGACACTCATTCTTCTGATGTGGACCAGGGCAGAGAAGCATGATTCTAGAGCCAGCAGCTATGGTGATTGCTTGCTGATTTGGCTTTCTGGTCTGGTAATTTCCTAATCATGCCAAAGATAACATAATTCTGGAACCAGCCACCATCTCATCATACAAAGGCAGCAGCTCCCCGGACAGCCCAGTTCTGCAGTGTGGTTTTGGGAGCTGTTTCTGGAAGTGCTGTCTGGAGAGTGTGCTCTTCAGCTCTCTCAGTGAGGGCTATATTTAACTGGTGGGAACGGATTCTGTTGTTTGCATCTAAGAATTCTATCCAATCTGTAGGCTATCTACAGCAGCCCCGCGTACGATACAGTGTTCCCCACATCCTTCTACCCATGATGGATGTGACTCTGACATCTGTACAAAGGAAAACTCTCCATTCTTCCCTCACCCATCCTTTTCCTCATCCTGTACCAAAACCATACCAAACCCACTGCTGTCAAGTCGATTCCAACTCATAGCCACCCTGCAGGGCAGAGGAGCCCTTCCCCCTACACAGCACCTGAATGTCTGACATCGTTGGGAAATGAACAGTGCTGTGGTCAGTCTAATGCTTTCATTTAATGCTCTTCAGACTGTGCAGTGTGGAAACTAGAAGAACAGACAGGTTCAGGGTTTTCGCACTATTTTCCATCAAACGCTGAAGACATAAATTGCCCAACGAATCTTTTCTTTTCTAAATAAACCAGTTACCATGTTAAGATTCTGCCTAAGATTTTCTTTGAAAAAAAGAATTGTACCATTCAAACATTTGAAAACCACTGTTCTAGTTACTAATTCGTTGTTGTTGTTGTTGTTAGGTGCCGTCAAGTCGGCTCCAACTCCTAGCGACGCTACACACGACAGAACAAAACACTGCCTGGTCCTGCACCGCCCTCACAATTGTTGTTATGCTTGAGCCCATTGTTGCAGCCACTGTGTCCATCCATCTCATTGAGGGTCTTCCTCTTTTTCACTGACCCTCCACTTTACCAAGCATGATGTCCTTCTCCAGGGACTTGTCCCTCCTAGTTACTTATTACTGCACCAAAAATGAAAGAGACATTCAGAGGGACTGTTAAGGAACGACTCTAAAGCCAGGATACTGGACTGTGAGGCTTGAAGGATCTAGCTCATTGCTTTATAAACAGATGAATCACAATTATTGATG